TTCTTGAGATATAATTGACATACAGCACTGTATAAGTTTAAGGCGTACAGCATGATGACTTGACTTATATATATTTTGAAATGATTACCACGATAAGTTTACATCCATCACCTTATATAGATACAGAAAAAGAAGAAAAAAATGTCTTTTTCCTTGTGATGAGAACTTTTAGGGTTTACTCTCTCAGCAGTTTTCAAATATATCATACAGCAGTGTTAACTGTAGTTATATGTTGTACATTACATCCCCAGTACTTAATTATCTTATAACTGGAAGTTTGTACGTTTTAACTACCTTCATCCAATTCCCCCACCCTCTCCCCTTGCCTCTGATAACCACAAATATGAGGCTTTTTTTCCTATGAGTTTGTTTTTTATTTTTGTTTTTTGGGGTTTCACATATAAGTAAGATCATACAGTATTTGTGTTTCTCTGTCTGACTTACTTTACTTAGCGTAATGCCCTCCGAGCCCATCCATGTTGTTGCAAACGCCAGTATTTCCTTCCTTTTATGGCTGAACGTTGAAAAATATATACCACATTTTCTTTGTTTATTCCTTGGTGAATACTTGGCTATTGTAAATAATGCTTTAATGAACATGGGAGTGCAGATATTTCTTTGATAAAGTGAGTTTGTTTCCTTTGGAAACAAAAACCCAGGAGCGGAATTGCCAGATCATATGGTAGCTCTGTTTTTAATTTTTTGAGGAACCTCCATACTGTTTTCTATAGTGACTGTACCAATTTACAATCCCAGCAGCTGTGCACGAGGATTCCCTTTTCTCCACCATCTCACCAGCATTTATTATCTCTTTTGATGACAATTGTTCTAACAGGCCTGAAGTGATACCTCACTGTGGTTTGATTTGCATTTCCCTACCAATGAGCAACTTTTCAGGTACCTGTTGGCCTTTCATATACCTTCTTTGGTAAAATGTTCTTCAGGTCCTTTGCCCATTTTTTTACTTAGGTTATTATCATTACTGTTACTTTTACTATTGAATTGTATGAGTTCTTTATGTATTTTGGAAATTAACCCCTTATCAGAACATGATTTGCAAGTATTTTCTCCTATTCCATACGTCACCTTTTCAGTCTGTTGATGGTTTGCTTTGCTGTGCAGAAGCTCTCTAGTTTGACGTAATTCTACTTGTTTATTTTTTGTTGTTATTGCTTGTGTCATATCCAAAAAGTCATTGCCAAGACCCATGTCAAGGAGCTTTGTTCCAGGCCAATTTTTTAAAACTTATGTATTATATGGAGAACTTTCAGAGAGAAATAAATTTTCTGGACCTCATGTGTTAAGTTTATTCTTATCATAATTTTATTTGAAGTTTATAAACATAAAACTATCAGCTCTTCTTTGCTTTTATACAATTATAAAGGCAACACACACCAATTAGATATGAGCAAAACTTTTAAAACAATGAAATACAAATTAATAACAAATTTAATATGAGGAATGGTATTGTTTTGCTGAAACTAAATTGGTGCTTACAATCAGGATGTAGTTCTCTGTTTCAGCATGAGTTCTTTTGAGTTTGACAGGCCTACATTACTGTGTGCCATGTGATGACTTAATTTTTCTGTCATTTTTCTCCATTTGAACTTACATGAACTGTTTGTTCGTATATCCCTGGCTACATCATTTAAGTATTAAGTCAACCTGTGTGCCTCTATTTTCTTTTTAGCCAGAGATCATAAAATACCATTGAACACCAATGCAAGTTATTGGAAATTGTGTTCGGATATCCAACCTTAAGGGCCTAATCCAGATGATCCAGAATCTGGTCATATTAATTTATTTTAGATTCTCATCCCAAAATGCATAATTTAGGAATCTCCTAGCTAGCTGTAGACCTTCAGGAATATCAATCACTGTTGCCAGTGGGCCCAACGGCACATCATTAGAAAGTCTCAAAAGAGAAAAAGGCTAGAAGTGTCACCAAAGCCTGGTGGAGGCCCTGGTGATCTGTCAGGACACATGGTGAATATTTCACTCCTTGAGTCCTGAAGTGCCTGAGTGTGAAAACAGAGGAGAGAAGCCACTTTGGGAAAGTCATGTTGGAGAAAATGCACCAGGTGTGCTTGTTAAACCAGCAGGATGTACGTGCAGCTCCTGGCTTCCTGCACTGCTCACCTAAGAAGGGCTGAATGTCTTGTTTATTGCCTTCCCCATGAAATTGTTGAATTCAGATGTCATAGGCAGAAACACACACCTGGGGCATCATAAAATACTGCTTATGGTGCCAGGGTATATCTTTGTGATTCCAGCATGTTGGGTTTTCTTAAAGCAAGGCACACCATCAGTAGACCAGGGAGAGTTTTTCATTTCCTGAAATGTTGAACTTGTTGTGTCTGCTCTTCTTTTCTTGTACAAAATTTTATTTTATTTTAGTAGAACATTTAACGTGAGATCTACATTCTTAACAGGTTTCTTTTTCAATTTTATTGAAGTATAGTTGATTTACAATGTTGTGTCAATTTCCTCTGTATGGAAAAGTGACTCAGCCTTACACATATGTACCTTCTTTTCCATATTCTTCTCCACCATGGTTTGTCACCGGATACTGAATATAGTTCCCTGTGCTGTACAGTAGGACCTTGTTGTTTATCCATCCTATATGGTAATAGTTTTCATCTGCTGATCCCGAACTCCCATTTCTTCTCTCCCCTACCCCCGCTCCCCCTTGGCAACCACAAATCTGTTCTGTATATCTGTGTGTCTGATTTTGTTTTGTAGATATGTGGATTTGTATTATATTTTAGATTCCACATATAAGTGATATCATGTGGTATTTGTCTTTCTCCTTCTGACTTAGTTCACTTAGTATGATAATCTCTAGGTCCCAATGGGCAGAAGACCTAAATAGGCATTTCTCCAAAGAAGACATACAGATGGCCAAGAGGCACATAAAAAGATGCTCAACATAGCTAAGTATTAGAGAAATGCAAATCAGAACTATACAATGAGGTACCACCTCATACCAGACAGAATGGCCATCATTAAAAAGTCTATGAATAACAAATGCTGGAGAAGGTGTGGAGAAAAGGGAAGCCTCTTACACCATTGGTGGGAATGTAAATTGGTGCAGCCACTGTGGAAAACAGTATGGAGGTTCTTCAAAAAACTAAAAATAGAGCTGCCATATGATCCAGCGATCCCACTCCTGGGCATATACCCAGACAGAACTATAATTCGAAAAGATGCACGCGCCCCTATGTTTATAGCAGCACTGTTTACAGTAGCCAAGACGTGGAAACAACCTAAATGTCCATTGACAGATTAATGGATAAAGAAGATGCGGTTTATATATACAATGGAATATTACTCAGCCGTCCAAAAGAGTGAAATAATGCCACTTAACAGATGTTGAAGTGCACAATACGGTATTGTTAAGTGTAGGCGTGATGTTGTAAGGCCTATCTCTAACTTATTCATCTTGCGTCACTGAAACTTTGTACCTCTTGAATAACAACTCCCCATTTCCCCCTCACCTCAGCCTCTGGCAACTACCATTCAACTCTCTGCTTCTGTGAGTTTGAGAGTTTTAGATACCTCATATACGTGGAACCACTCAGTATTTGTCCTCCTGGGACTGGCTTATCTCACTTAGCATAATGTCCTCAAGGCTCATCCATGTTGTTCCCCATGGCAGGTTTCCTTCTTTTATTTAAGGCTGAATATCCCATGTGCCTTTTAGATACCAAATGCACTGCCCTGTCTTTTGGTCCCACCCGACCCAGCTAGACTCTGTCTCCTCTCTTGCTAATTCTCAAATGCTTTCATGGTCCCCACCAACTGGGTGCATAAAGAGAATGAAAGGGGGTTTCAGAACCCATGAAGGGGCTGAGGCCTGAGCAGGAACTTGCTGGGGATTGAATCCCACGATTGTGTGGTGCTTGTCTGCTGCCTTCTTGCTGTCTCTGGAGGGTCCCTGCTACACCTTATCATCAATTTTCCATGGACCATCTCATAACTTGGCTCTAGGAGGTTTTTCTATCACTTCGCCTTGCTTGGCGAAGACCTGTATTATGGGAAATGAGCTTAATTTCCCTTGTCCATTCATCTTTTAACTTTTCCCATTAGCCTTGGCGCTGCCAGCCCACCCCAGTGAGCCCTGCCTCTTCCGTGCTTTCTCTCCAGGCCTCTCGGTGGGCAGCCTGGCAGTGGACAGCACTGGTTTCTCTGACAGCATGAGCACAGAGGGCTTGGACAGAAGGCAACATATGTTTTGTGAGATTCCTAAGGCGTATGGTTTTTAAGCCCATTGAAATTCTATCCAAAATACTAACTGAATTTTTCTAATCTGCAACCTCAGTACTCATAGATCCCAAATTTTCTATGCGGTAAGTTAAATGGTAATTGAGGTTTGCAAATTTTTATGTAATTTATTCTGGTTTTCTTCCAGTGGCCTGTGAGCTAGAACTACAGCTTCGATGTAGTTGCTTCTTCCTGTTTAGAGAGCTAGCGTAATATTCTGTCTTCTGGGCTCAAATAACCATGCGATTACTCTGTAATCGTATAGTAATTAACATGTACTATGTGCATTTATTACATAATTATATTCCTGGAGGATTGCATGGCAATTATACTTACATTCAGCATATCATTTTATATATTATATAATAAACAAGTATATAATTTGTTGCTCTTTTCTTTTATCCTAATTTCAATTTACCAACCAGGAGCTGGAAACTTGTTCTTCTGTTGCCTTGTTTATATGTAGTCAGGCAGGTGCCTGAGCGCCTTTGGCCTTACTCAACACCTCCTAATCATACATCTGAGACAACGCTAGGAGCTTGTGTGCTGCCGTGGGCTCCCAGCCTCTGTCCCCCTGATACTTCCTCATTGTCATGAACTCATTAAGTTATTAGCTTCAAGACACAGAGTTGATCAGAGCTGCCAGCGCTGCCAGGTGAATGGCCAGACCTCAATGAAAGCAGAGCAGCCCCAGCACACAGCCCTGTGATCACGCCCGCCTTTCTCTCCTTTTACAGTGGAGCACATCCCGAAAGGGAACAACTGCCTGGACGCCGCCAAGGCCTGCAACCTAGACGACACCTGTAAGAAGTACAGGTCCGCGTACATCACGCCGTGCACCACCAGCATGTCCAACGATGTCTGCAACCGGCGCAAGTGCCACAAGGCCCTCCGGCAGTTCTTCGACAAGGTCCCGGCCAAGCATAGCTACGGGATGCTCTTCTGCTCCTGCCGGGACATCGCCTGCACCGAGCGGAGACGGCAGACCATCGTGCCGGTGTGCTCCTACGAGGAGAGGGAGAAGCCCAACTGCTTGAATTTGCAGGACTCCTGCAAGACGAATTACATCTGCAGGTAAGCGCGTGCCAGCAGCCTGGTGATTAAGGAGGTGGTGGAGAGAACCTTTATGCTGCTTCAGTGGCCAGGCTTCTATTTTCTGAATTTCTGCAGGGGGGTGGGGGAGGGGAGTCATTGGGATGGATGGGGGTGGGGGAGGGGAGTCATTGGGATGGATGGGCCAAAACCTGACCTCTGCCTCCAGCACGAGGTTCTTCAGCAGCTGATCAGCCTTTTGTGCTGAGGAAGGTTCCCGTCTTTAACCTGAGGGAAGCTTTGAGAGATGCTGGAATGAGGTCAATAGGACTTCGTAAGTGCAGAGGGTCACCTGAGCCCAGGTGAGCTTGAAGGCATGTGCCCCCTCTGTTAGACCTGAGGGCTGCCAGGGTTCAAAAGCGTTAAGTAAGTGGGGTAGCAGGTGCTGGAAATATGGGGGCTCTTGTCATCAAGGTCAGAAAACTGGAAGAGAGCAGCGAGAGGGAGGGATAGAGCCGTGTCCAGCCCCCAAGAGGAGAACTTCCAGAATGCCTGGGTCTGCTCTGGGCCATTCAGTCGACGATGTGGCTGAGAATAGATGCCTTCCGTGCTTCCGGATCTCAGCCCCCATCGAAACCTGGCAGTGTTGTTGAAAAGAGTCACTTCCTTTTCCTTTTTGGCCATTCATTAATTTATTTTAATGTTTGAAGGACTCCATGAATATATTCTATGTGTGTGTTTTTTTTTTTTAAAGCAAAAAAGCAATATAGAATTAGTAGAGGGAAAGGGAAGTTTCCTCTTGCTCCCAGCCGTCACTGTCAACAATTTGATGTGAGTCCTTCCAGAACTTTGGGTTGAATTCATTGCTGATCAGAAGCAAGTAGATTTTGATAAGCAGAGACTTGACTCTTTGCCGCCTGAGGCAATGCTGGTGCTAGATTCAGAGCACAGGATAGAGATGCAGACGGGGCATCATCGGACAACACTTGTACTTTGCCCTATCCAACACTTGTACTTTGCCCCCAGGATAGAGCCAGGAATCTTCAAATGCCATCGCTGACAAAATCCTGTGCACTTGATAAATGTTCACAGGTGGAGGAGTAGATGAGGGCGTGACTTTGCGTTTGTTTTCTTGTAAGTTTCCCATTTCTAGAGCAGAGGGCAGGGAAGAAACTGATAGTTTGAGGACTCTGGTAAGCTGAGTTTTGTCAGTTTAAGTTTTATTCTGATAGAATGGAGTCCCATTCTTTCCTTAGACTAGCTCTAATAGTGACCAAAGAAAAATAAAAGTCCTTGTTATCTGTAGAACTCCCTCATGCTGAAGACTTTCGGGGAGTAATATCCCTCCATTTTTTTCCAAGTTGGAAGCTATCTGAGGAAGAACTCAGATGGCCGAGCTTGTCTTGGGAGGAGTCAGGTGCTCAGGCAATGCAACTTCTCTAAAGACTCTTCCTCACCTTCACGCCCCTCTTCCATTGAGACCCTCTTAACTGAGGGCTAGGATCAGGGATCACTGTGCTCTAAGGATCCTGAGGAAGAGGCAGGACCTCCTCGCAGCTATAACCTGGGGAAGCCAATCAGCCAGGGACTCTAAGAACGCCCTGCTCGAGATGAATGTGGTGAGGACAGGACCAAGGGAGAAGCTGTGGGAGCTTAGCCTGGCATTAGGATGCCAGGGGACAGAGAATCTGAAGACCTGTCCTCTGAAGACCCCAAGTTCCTGTGTCCCTTTAGTCTTTGAGCAGAGGAATCCCTCTGCTAAAAGCAGGACTTTCCGGGGTCTTCCTTGGCTTGAAGGCAGACAGCCCCTCCTTGTCTCTACAGGAGACATTATCCTGTTCACTGATGGGTCCAAGCCAGGAAGCCTGGAGATGGGAGGCTACTGTCAGGGGAGGGAATGGAGCAGTGCGTGAGCCCTCCGTCCACTGGACCATGGCTGGCAGGCGGAGAGAGCATGGTGATGGAGCCTTTCCTTCTCTTCTCACGCGGTCTGTCTTGCACGTGAGGTCCAGAGGAGGCTCCTGACACCTCCTGTGCAGGCTCAAAGCCCACCGTGAGGGGTCCATTTGCATTACCTGGCCTGCTCTCTAAAAAGAGAGAATCCTCGGAGAGTTGGTGTGAATTAGTCGAATCAGATTGCTTCCCTGCTAAGCTGTGGTGAGAAATAGCTGGAAGTTTGGGAACTTGGTGTGTTCCAAGGAGGTGGCAGGAGGAATCTGCAGTCCTGTCTGGGGACCAGCCTGGTTCCAGGAACTGGTTGTGTTGAGGCAGCCCAAGTAGCATAGCGTGGCCTCAGCTGATGGGTCAGAAAGGAACAGGGGACAATAGGACAGCCCTCACCTAATGACTGACTGTGCCTGGTCACACCGAGGTCGGGCTGTGGTGACAACAGCCACCAGGCAGTGGGGTGAAGTCGGGCTGGACTGGAAACTGCAACCAGAAGCAGTCTCGGTGCTGCTGCCAGATTCCTGGCTCTGGGATGTTTGGGAATCCAAATCCTAGACTCCCTAGGGCCCTCCCAAGTGAAATTTGCCTGCATGTGATCGGTGGGTTTTATACCGTCTCGAGTCTTCTCTGGGAAGGTGAATCAGTGACTTCCCCTGGTGTTACCTGTCCTAAGTTATTTATCCCGTAATTTCTTTCCAGAGTCTGAGCTTATTACTCATGATTACCCCCTCCCTGTCAGATGTGGTAAATGTAATTTAAGCTGCTAGGTAGGCTAGCGGTGTTTTCTTTCATCAGGTTTTATTAGTCTTGTCTTTAATTTTATGCCTTTTATTGCATCTCGTTTCAATCCATCTCGGCGAAGCCCTTGGAGTTACTACTACGTGGAACAGCAGCTGGGGCTTCGGCAGGGTTTCATGTTAAAGCTGCTCTGACCCAGACCCATTTGGAGGAATGGAGGTACCCCCAATGGGATGACTAAAGGCCTAATTTGAATATCCCCAAAGCGAAGGGATAGCAAGAGGGAAAATCGCTTCCTGAAAAGCATATTCTTTGAAAGCTCACATTTCAAATGCTCCATTGCCATCTCAACATCAGGGACTATCAAAGAGCTGCTGAAACTCATTGAAACCTCCCTGCGCTTAATGATTTCCAACTCGAAGCACACAGGTTTCCTTCCCCAGGGTCCAGCGGTGCCTCTGTGCAAAACCTCTCTCCTGCGTTTTGCCTTCAAACAGAGGAGATGCAACTTTAGCTTTTCCTTTTGACTTTGTTTTCTTTTCTCCTTTTCCCTTTTAGGGAAGCTGACAGGTTTCTTTCCTCTTAGGGTGGTTGGGGACAGGCAAGAGCTTGACTGTTTAGGCCTCCAAGCTTGCCTGCAGAAAAGCAAACGCAGAGGTGTTATTAGAAGGGTGTGATGAGATTAAGAGCCTCCAGTTCTTCCCCTGAAGCACAGTGTCTCCCATACTCATTGTCCTCCGGTTGCTTTCCTTAGTGCCTGGAAGGATGTCAGGTTGGGGTTTGGTCCTAAAGGAAGCATATTCCTTTATTCCCGATGCAAGTGGTTATATATACAAAATTTAAAGTTGTGCCTCTCCTCCTTTCCCTCAAATTCTGACCTCCAAGCTAAGGTCAGCCCTTGGGCTCTGACTCAGGGTGCTACAAATATGTTCATAGCTCTTGAATTTTTCTCATTAATCACTCAGGCGCCTCTCCTGCTCTTCATTACCCAAAGGGCTAGCATCTTTCTCTTGAGCATGCCCCCTCCTGTTTTCATCTAAGAATTATACAGTTATTTTCCAAAACCTGTTCTGCTTCCAATGCCAGGAAAAGAGGGAGCCTGAGGCTACTGGCCAGCCGGCCTGACCTGTGGGTTTAGCTGCTGCCACACGGTGTCGCTGTTGTGGACAGCCCAGAGGTTGCTTTGTGGTTTGGTGACTGTGCCCTTCCTGGTCATTCTGCACCTGCAGCAGAGGTGCTGCATCTTGGGTGCAGAGTAACAACTCTTAGTTCATACTCAGCATGCAGCCACTGTTTCCCAAAGCGTGACATATTGCCCTGGGGGCTGGGTCCTAAGGGTTTCCCACCAGAGCCAGCCCTCCAACTTGAGCACACAGTATCTCAGACTCTCCCTTTCCTGGCAATATAGCCTAGATGGATTTGAGTGTTGTATTTGCATTTTCTCTCTTTTCTTGTTTTATTGTGGTAAGAACACAACGTGAAATCTACTCTTTCAACAGGTTTCTAAGTGCACGATATGGTATTATCTATAGGCACAATATTGTACAGTAGATCTCTAGAACTTATTCATCTTGTATAACTGAAGTTTTATTCCCACTCATCGGAAACTACCTTACCAGGGGATAAGGAGGGGGGGAGGAATAAATTAGGAGATTGGGACTGACATATGCATACTACTATATATAAAATAGATAATAAGAACCTGCCGTATAGCACAGGGAACTCTACTCAATATTCTGTAATGGCCTATATGAGAAAAGAATCTAAAAAAGAGTGGATATATGTACATGTACAACTGATTCATTTGCTGTACACCTGAAACTAACACAATATTATAAATCAACTCTACTCCAATAAAAATGAAAAAAAAAAAAAACTACCTGCTTACCCCTCCCCCTACTTCCTGGCAGCTACAATTCTGTTCTTTGCTTCCACGAGTTTGATGATTTTAGATACCTCATGTAAAGTGGAATCATGCAGTATTTGTCCTTCTGTGACTGTTTTATTTCACTTAACATAATGTCCTTCAGGTCAGTCCATGTTGTTCCATATTGCCTTTTTAAGGCTTAAACAGTGCTTGGTCAAGGGTACCTCATAGCTTTTGGAAAGAGTCTGATAATGCTGAACTTCAGAAGGGAAGGGATCAGGGCCTCTGCCCTCTGTCTCCAAGGCTTTTTGCCTAGCCCCTCCCCCACCAAGATATACTTGCTCTTCCCGGTGCCCAGGCTCTGTATCCTCATTGTTTCCAAGAGTGGTAGCTTTTACCAAGTGACCAAGTACATATGGTTCTACCTTTCCCCAGGGACTAAGGATCCTATAATTGTATCCTGGAGACCTGTTTTTTTTGTTGTTGTTGG